TCCTGAAGATCAGAGTGCAGAGCTAAGTCACTAGAGGCCAGGTAGTGATAGCACACACCTTTAATCCCAGGACTCAAGAGACAGAGGCAGATCTCTGTTAGTTCAAAGCTTCTCTGGGCTACATGAAATTGATGCAGTCTAAAAGAAAAACAGAGCTCAAACAACAGTGATAACAGCATTTGAGAATGCATGCCTTTAATTTCAGCACTAGGAAGGTGGAAGAGGAGTGATATGGATGGACAGAGAGAGGAATATAAGGCAGGACAAGACAGGAGCTCAGTTCAGTATGACACAGCAGTCTGAAGTAGCAGTCAGACTGAGGTAGCAGTCTAGGCAGTCAGTCTGATGATACAGTCTGAGGAGGCTGTCTGAGGACAAGATCACCCTTGAGGTCTGAGCATTGGTAGAGGTAAGAACTCTAGTTACCAGCCCCTTTGCTTCTCTAATATTTCTGTTTTCACCCCCCTGATAGCTGACTCTGAGTTTTTATTATTAAGAACAATTAGAATTCGTGCTACACCCAATTACTAAGCCATTGTATTTGTATAGGTGTAGGTTCATCTATTGGATCATGGCTAGCCTCACAGGGGCTGCTTGCCAGATGAAAACTGACTTCCGCTCTCCCAGCAGGCATCAATTGTCAGTTATTTTTCAGCTTGGTGTGGAATTTCATGAGACCCCCTCATATTTGTGCTTGATCTCATACACATCTTGTGTATGCACACCCTGCCAGGATGAGTTCAAGTGTGCAATATTGCTGTTGTGTTCTACAAACACTGCTTTGCTGCAGTTTTCTACTTCCTCTGGGTCTTATAACCCCTAAGCACTGGGGGGAAGGGATATGAAATAGATGTCTCTGATGTGGGATGTCCTTCTTTATAGGTGTTGCTTTTATTGGTTAATAAATAAAGCTGCCTTAGCCTATAGCAGGGCAAAATATAGCCAGACTGAAAGATATCTCTCTCAAAGATATACATATATATATATATATATATATGTGTGTGTGTGTGTGTGTGTGTGTGTGTGTGTGTGTATGAGAGAGAGAGAGAGAGAGAGAGAGAGAGAGAGAGAGAGAGAGAGTAGGCAGAGTCAGACAGAGGTCATGCCTTCCTGTAGCCACTGAAAATAGCAGACACCCAGATTTTTTATCCGGTGAGCCACAGCATTGTGGTGATGCACAGATTAATAGAAATGGGTTAATTTAAGATGTAAGAGGTAGTTTAAAATATGTAAAAGCTATTGACCAAGCAGTTATTTAATTAATGCAGTTTCTGTGTAATTATTTTGGGTCTGGGCAGCCAGGAACGAACAAGTAGCCTCCGCCAACAGGTTGCTGTACTAACATGGGACATGGATCCACATAAGACCTAAAAGAAATCTTTAAAGGTAGATGACTTCTAGACCCACCAAAACAGGAGCCAAACACAGTCTCTTGGTAGCCTCATTGTTTCAGATGGCCTTTGCTTATTGGCAGTGAGCAGGAGTGCTGCGGCTCCTTTAAGAAAAGGCTTACTTTCTCTTCTATCAGGTTCAAAGTGGACAGATTGATGTTGATGTCTTTAATCCATTTGGACTTGAGTTTTGTGCATGGTGATAGATATGGATCTACTTTCATTCTTTTACAGGTTGACATCCAGTTATGCCAGCACCATTTGTTAAAGACGCTTTCCTTCTTCCATTGTATACCTTTAGCTCCCTTGTCGAAAATTAGGTGTTCATAGGTTTGAGGGTTAGTATCCGGGTCTTCTATTCGATTCCATAGGTCAACTTCTCTGTTCTTATGCCAAAACCAAGCTGTTTTCAATACTGTAGCTCTGTAATAGAGTTTGAAGTCAGGGATAGTAATGCCTCCAGAAGTTCCTTTATTGTATAAGATTGTTTTGGCTATCCTGGGTTTTTTGCTTTTCCATATAAAATTGATTATTGTTCTCTCAAGGTCTGTGAAGAAGTTTGATGGGATTTTGATGGGGATTGCATTGAATCTATAGATTGCTTTTGGTAGAATTGCCATTTTTACTATGTTGATTCTCCCAATCCAAGAGCAGGGGAGGTCTTTCCATTTTCTGGTATCCTCCTCAATTTCTCTTTTCAAAGACTTAAAGTTCTTGTCAAATAGGTCTTTCACTTCCTTGGTTAGAGTAACCCCAAGATATTTTAAACTATTTGTGGCTATCGTGAAAGGTGATGTTTCTCTGATTTCGCTCTCCGCTTCTTTATTCTTTGTGTATAGGAGGGCCACTGATTTTTTGGAGTTGATCTTGTATCCTGCCACGTTACTAAAGGTGTTTATCAGCTGTAGGAGTTCTTTGGTAGAGTTTTTGGGGTCACTTATGTACACTATCATATCGTCAGCAAATAACGAAAGTTTAACTTCATCCTTTCCAATTCGAATCCCCTTGATCTCCTTATGTTGTCTTATTGCTACTGCTAGAACTTCAAGCACTATATTGAAGAGGTATGGAAAGAGTGGACAGCCTTGTCGTGTTCCTGATTTTAGTGGAAAGGCTTTGAGTTTCTCTCCATTCAATTTGATGTTAGCTGTCGGCTTGCTGTATATTGCTTTTATTATATTTAGGTATGATCCTTGTATCCCCAGTCTCTCCAACACCTTTATCATAAAGGGGTGTTGAATTTTGTCAAATGCTTTTTCAGCATCCAGTGAAATGATCATATTTTTTTTCTTTCAGTTTATTTATATGATGGATTACATTGATAGATTTGCGTATGTTGAACCATCCCTGCATCTCTGGGATGAAGCCTACTTGATTAAAATGGATAATTTTTCTAATGTGTTCTTGGATTCGGTTTGCCAGTATTTTATTGAGAATTTTCACATCGATGTTCATGAGTGAGATTGACCTGTAATTCTCTTTCTTGGAAGTAGTCTACAAGATATAGGCACAGGAGGCAACTTCCTAAGTAGGACCCCAGTAGCACAGACAATAAGAGAAACAATGAATACATGGGACCTGCTGAAACTGAGAAGCTTCTGTAAAGCAAAGGACACTGTCAGTAAGGCAAAAAGGCTGCCTTCTGACTGGGAGAAGATCTTCACCAACCCCTCATCAGACAAAGGTCTGATCTCCAGAATATACAAAGAACTCAAGAAACTACACACTAAAACTCTAATTAACCCAATTAAAAAATGGGGTACTGATCTGAACAGAGAATTCACAACAGATGAACTTCGAATGGCCAGAAGACACTTAAGGTCATGCTCAACCTCCTTAGCGATCAGGGAAATGCAAATCAAAACCACTTTGAGATACCATCTTACACCTGTCAGAATAGCTAAAGTCAAAAACACCAATGATAGCCTATGCTGGAGAGGATGTGGAATGAGGGGAACACTCATCCAGTGTTGGTGGGAATGCAAACTTGTGCAGTCACTGTGGAAATCAGTGTGGCGGTTTCTCAGGAAACTGGGAGTCAACCTCCCTGAAGACCCAGCAATTCCACTCTTGGGAATATACCCAAGAGATGCCCTATCATACTACAAAAGTATTTGTTCATCTATGTTCATAGCAGCACTATTTGTAATAGCCAGAACCTGGAAACAGCCTAGGTGCCCCTCAATAGAAAAGTGGTTAAAGAAGGTGTGGAACATATATACATTAGAGTTTTACTCAGCGGTAAAGAACAATGACATCTTGAATTTTGCATGCAAACGGATGGAAATTGAAAACGCTTTACTGAGTGAGGTAACCCAGACCCAAAAAGAGGAATATGGTATGTACTCACTCATAAGTGGATTCTAGCCATAGTTAAAGGTCTTTGGGTCTATAATTAGTGATCCTAGAGAAGATAGATAAGAAGGTGAACCTGAAGAAAATTTATATAGTTATCCTTCTGGATAATAGAACTAGGCAAGATTGCCAAGCAAAGTCGGGTGCATGGGGGGTGGGGGGGTGGAAGTAAGGCAAGATGGTTAGGGTGAGGAGAGAGGGCGAGAATTGGGGATGGCTTGGGGTAATGGGAGGGGGAGGGAGGAAGGATGGTTATGGGAGCAGGGAAGTTTACAATGTACTTCCTATTTACCTAAGTAATATTGTATCCTTCTGGATGGAGTCTTTGATGGAGTTGAAGAATACATATAATTATAATTTTGCTTAATTATGATGAAAGATAAAGTAGATATAAATATTATAACTGTAATTCTTGCTTGATACCTGGTTTGTTATATATAATTTTACTATGTTAAAATTTAACTCCTTCCTTTTTTTAGACAGAAAAGCAGAAGTTATATGGGATGTCCTTCTGTATATGTGTTGCATTTATTGGTTAATGATAAAGCTGCCTTGGCGTATAGCAGGATAAAGTATAGCCAGACTGAAAGAGATATATAGAGAGCATAGGAAGAGTCAGATAGATGCCATGTAGCCACCAGAGGAGACAGATGCCTTGAACTTTACCTGGTTAGACACAGCATTGTGGTGACACACAGATTAAAAAAATGATTTAATTTATGGTGTAAGAGGTAGCTAGAAATACGCATAAGCTATTGGCTAAGCAGTGTTCAATATTATTTCTGTGTAATTATTTTGGGTCTGAGTGACTAAGAATGATCAAGCAGCCTTCACCAACATGTCTCATTTAAAATCAAGCATTTACATTCTCCTCTTTTCTGCATATTGATCAATCAGAATCTCTGTATTAATTGCTATCTACTGCAAAAAATAAGTTTCTCTAATGAGTGTTGAGAGACACATTAATTCACAGGTAATGAATATAAGTCCTTGGGAGGCAGTTTAGTGCTGTGTCTATTTAGTAAAATAATAGTAATTCTTCCCTGTGACTTATCACCTACCCAGTCAAGGGTTCTAGTTCTAATTAAGAAGAACCTAGTAGGAGTTCAGTCTTGTAAACTGAGCCTTAACTACACATAGAAAGTGGTGGGTTACTACCGTACCTTTCCCAGCCAGTCATTATTTTAGCTCACAAGATTTATAGTTGGGAAAGATTGTTAATGATTTTTTTTTGTCCCCAAGTAGCATACATACCACCTTCTAGGACTCCGAAATGTAGCAAATAGAAATGGAGCTTCTAAGTCATTGTCAGCTTGATTTCTCCCTGTGCTGTGATTTAAGTATGTGGTGTCTTCATGGTCTTACCATCAAGTTTCTGGGGGGGCAACCAAGAATAACTACAGTAGTCTGTTGTGTTTGCAGAGGTCTTTATGACCTCATTGGCTAGCAACATGGTACCCTATGAATTTCACTAGGCTTTTATTTGTTGTCTAGAAAAGGCACTGCAGTTCTTTTGCTGGTAACTTCAGGAAAAATATATTTATAGATGAATATAATTTATTTAAAGAAGTTCCTATTGTAGCTTTCCATATGGTTTTCTTCAAAGGTCTAATGTTAGTTATCCCTTTCCATATTCCCTCCTCTACGCTGCACTCTCTTCTCTACCCCATTCAGCTTTTCCTGTTCCATTATTCCTTTTTCTCCTTTTATACCACCTGTGTTGTAGCTCCCTCTTTTGATATTCCCTACATAGTCCCTTGCTAGTTTCCTGACTTCTATAGGCATGCCAATACAAACAAACATACTTAAGATGCAAAGCTAGTGTCCACATCTGAGAGAGAACATACAGTGTTTGCCATTCTGGGTCTGGGTTACCTCCTTTTACCTTCATTTGCAATTATTCATTGCCACAAGTCATCAGTCTGGTAAGGGACTTCTGTCCTCTACCACAGCATGGACATTGGGCTCTCAGTGGGTCTACCCCCGCCTGGAATTCCTACCTTTGTCCTGTGTCATGGAGATACCGCAGTTTTGGATCCATCTCTTCTCAAGCTCTAACAGTTCACAGTCCAGGGCCTGGCTATTAGCTAGGCTAGTCAGCCTGCCCACTTTCTCCTCATTGTCACCCCGACCCTCACATGCTCTCTAATACTGTCTTGTTCTGCCCATCTAATGTAGCCTATTCTCCTGCTTTCAGGTCTGCAGGTCCACCTCAGTCACACTCACACCACAAGGGCTAACTCCACTGTTTATCCCACAGGCAAGGTTGTAGAAGACATAGGAGGGGTGTAGGCAGAGGCAGCTCTCCTGTTCTTACACCATTAAGGCTGGCTCACCTGCATCCTTGACAACAGCATACAAGGACATGTTTGGTACCTTGGTGAGTTTCAGGGTCCACTGCTCTCCTGTGTGCTGCAGATGATGAGGGGCAGTGATAGTTCTCCCACTCTAGTGATCCTGGGGCTCTATCACGTAGCCCTGGGAGCAGAGGGAAGCATCTTTCCCTCACCCATGCTACCACATAACAGGCAAGGTGGGCAGGGTCATTTCTCATACTCTAATGCCCTCAGGGTGGGCTCGCCTGCATCACAGCCAATAGGGTCAGCTCTAGTGTACTGTCCACAAGGAATGCAGTTCCTGTTCTCCCATGTCCTACATCCAGTGAGGGACAGAGACCGTTCTCCATCTCTCTTAATCCCAGGAACTGCTTTCTTGCCCGCCACGGGTAGTAAAGGATTGGGGTGATTTACTTCACATCTGAACCTCATTTCCTTCCCATCTTTCCTCACATTTTCTCCATCCACTGATCCTCCACAGCAATTTCCCCATCCACTCCTCCTCTGTTTCTGTTCAGAAACAGGCAGGCCTACCATGGCTATCAACAAAGCATGGCATATCATGCTGTCTTAAGACTAAACACCTCCCCTTGTATTAAGGCTGGGCAAGGCAATCCAGTATGAGGAATAGGTTCCCAAGAGCCAGTCAAAGCCTGAGGGACATCCCCTCTTCCCATTGTTAGGAGTCAAACAAGTAGACCAAACTACACAAGTGCCACAAATATGTAGAGGACCTAGGTCAATCCCATGCAGTTTCCCTGGTTATTGTTTCAGAATTTGTGAGGTCCTATGAGCCCAGGTTAGTTTTTATGTGGGTTGTCTTGTGATGTCCTTGACCCCTCTTATTTTTCTGTGGTATTTATTATAATTTATTGTCTAACACATTTTGAGTAATGAAATCCAAGTTTATTTCAGTTACAAGCATTACAAGAGAAAGCAAAAAAACAACCAATTTGAATTAGCTTTGTCATGTCTGTTTCACCATCAACCAATTCCACATTTTCAGGAAAGTTATTGTTCCAATGTCACATTAACATTTTAAAGATATACCAGATTTTTTTTAATAGCCAAACTCTTGGTCTTAAACATGAAAAACACCAATAAGTATGTCAGGCACAATGTTAAGAAGCAGATTATGATGCAAGCTAATCCTCAATTCAAGGAACATTTACAAAATAGCAAAGAAAAATACATATATTTTCTCATGTATTGCATAAAGATAAGATACAAACTTTATTATTTCTAGCCCAAAATACATTTCATTACTTGAAAGACTGACTACTCTTCAGCACAATGAAAACTATATCTCAAATTCAACTAAATGTGGGAGGAGCTGTGAGCCATGCACTTGCGATGATGAGCCCTAACTTCCCTGATATCACTGATATCAACAGCATTACCAGGCACAGCTGTAAATCTCCGTGCTGCTCTATTAGCCTCATCAAGCATAGCCTCTTCATACATAGTAGGGAAGAAACTGGGGCAAGTATTATTGATCTTAGCTACAACTTCCAGGACTTTCATCTTGGTAGTTTCAGCATAGGCTCTAGGACCCCACCTGAACTCATAGCGTGGGGGGTCACTGCCAAGAACTTGGCGGTATATCACATAATTTTCCTCCACCAAATCTTTGGTGATGAACTCCCGGGGCTCCCCAAAAATTACATGACTCTTCCCAGGATAAATCCCCACTACTTTCAGGAATTCCCAAACATCTTCCTCAGTGGCACGGTTCCCCTTCATGAAGATCACACCCAGGAGGGTCATCAGGAGCCCCGTCTTGGGCAACCCAGAACTGCTACTCAGACTTCCCTCGGTGGAGAGACCCAGCTTGCCCACAAGCATATATGACTGAGAACTGGGATCTACTTCTTTTAACTCAAGGCCAAAGACCAACTCCAGGCGCACAGAGATTCTCCTGAGGATCTCAGTGAAGTGCACCTTGTACTTCCTGCTGATCATCCTAAGCATATCTGCCTGTGTGAAGGGCTTTTTCACCTTAAATTTCTCCAGCATGAACTCTATCAATACATTGGCCTTCCTGGTCAGAGGATCTCTGCGCGCAGACTGAATGGCAGCTGCTATCTTGGAGGCACGAGCACTTCTTTCATCATCTGCCACAGAATCATTGGCACCAACATCAGAACCCTCAGCACTGACAGCACTTGTCTCATCAGCACCTGCAACAGAAACCTCAGCACCAGCATCCGAACCATCAGCACCAATATCATAGATTGAGCGGGGCACATCTAACTCAGGAGAGCCATGGGGCATGGCCTCCTGAGACCCCTGAGGAGTGCAGCCTTCAGGGGAGCTGGGGGCATCCCCCTGGCCAAGAGGGGGCGATGTTGCTTCCTCCTCTGCAGCGGGCTGAGCACCCTGGAGATTCTGGCTCTCTCTCCGAGTCTGCTGCCTTTTGGCCCGGGAGCGACCCTTGCTCTTGTTGCCCCTAGGCATGATGAGTTGTCTCAGAGGCAGCAGGCAGGAGTGCTGTAAAGGCAGGTATCTGGAGGGAATAGAATAACACTATGAATGTCATACCATCACTGGGTAGTGAGAGACTTCCCTTCAATAAATGAATGCCACCTCCTCTCCTTTCCTCGGGACATCTTTTTGGGTACTCACGGTGCTCTGTTTTTTTATGGTTATTATCCACTTCCTACGAAACCTGTGGAGGAAATCAGATTGTGTTAGGGCACTGCATTGCACCCCAGGTTATATCTTCCTAGTGAGAGAAAAGCATTTTCATTAGCGCCCCATTTGATAAATTTCAGGATCCTCTTTATATTCAGAACCCTCGTGTGCATTTTTAATTAAGTCTGGATCCCCACTTTTCCCTGCCTCTCTAAACTTAACATTACAACTTCACTAATAACACACAGGTAGAAATTAAGTTAAGCTTCACCTCTTATGCCTGAAGCTATTCAGCCTAGACGTTATATGATTATGCTTTTGTGAAGCCCGATCCCCCCTCCCCCGTTTCTTTTCCAGATCTCCTTAGTGTGAACATCCTAAAACATGCTACATAATTCTCTAATCAAAGTGTTCTCTGAAGGACAAAGTGAGGTGGCATCACAATCTTTGGGCCTGCCTGACCCACCTAAGCCACCATACAAGAGTACAATTCCATGCATCCCCCATACGGCATGGGTCATTCTTCCTAATTTTCATAACTGGCCTCCCTCCTTATAAATCTATAACTCCTATATTTCCTCTTTTGTCCCTTAGTCCTCCATTATCTTAATGCGGCCTTCCTTCTCCGAGAGACACAAGGAAAAAGTTACCGGTATCTTGGCCTAAGGGCCATGTCCGGAACTTCGGAAACCAGAGCAGAAGCAGGCCTGTGTGGCTGGCTTCCTTTTCGTGGGCAAGGGTGGACTATTTTTTTAGGGGATTCAAAAAAGTTTCGGGCAGTCATAGTTTTAACTCAGGAACCCCCCATCTGTAACACCCTACAACACCAGGGGAGTTTCTTTTACCTGACAGGAGACGCCTTCGCCAAGTTGATCAAGGCCTATACCGACAGGACAGTTAACCGGAAGTTAGGGTCCTCCGCTTCCTTCTCTCTGTCCCCCTCTGCTCCTTGTTCTCAGAAAATAATTCCATAGGAGGAAGTGTTCTTGTCGATTTTTGTTCCGGGAAAAGGGGAAGTCCCCAGATAAATAGGTTCGTGTTGACTTTGCCTGGGGCTGGAATGTCTTGCTGTGAGTCAGTAAGCATTCCAGACAAAAATCTGACGTCCACGAGAATACTTTGAAGAAAGTAATTCGGAGCATAGGATTCCTGTTCATAACTTCAACATAAAGCATTGAAAGGGCTCTATTATGCCTGTTATTTTGTACTTGGAACCCTAAATGTTTATTGTGATTCATCACCCCCTCCCAATCCTGCACTCTGCAATCCCCTAGCCAGTTATTTATTACCTCCTATCTGTTGCATGTATTGTAATAGCTCTTATTAATAAAAATCCAGAGTCATATATGGAAGAAAATGTGGAGAGATCAGATAGACGGAGGAGCAATCCACAGCCACCTTTTTGGATAAGAAGATGAGTAGTTAAGTTTGCTCTCGTTTGCTACTTCGTCTATCTGATCTTTCCACATTTTCTCCTATATATAACTCTGGGTTTTTATTATTAAGAACTATTACAACCCGTGCAACATCTCTCAATTCTCCTTTCTTCTTAATCTTCCCCCTTTCCTTCCATTTCTCCTCCTCTCCCGTTCCCCCCCACCCACCCTTTCTCAACCCTCACCTCTATAGTTTCTTTTCCTCTACTCTTTTATCTTTGGTATCTGTGTATCTCAGATTGCCCTAGACCTAATGAGCTTTTGTTACTTTCCTGCCTCATTGTCCCCATATGCCATCATACCTGGTGTCTTTCTTTTTTTCTGATTAAGGATTACATCTTTTGTTTATGTTTGTGGGGAACCAATCTCGCTGTGTAGCTCAGGGTGCCCTGGAAACCTTATGTAGCTTAGAGTCGCCAACCTTTAGCAATCAAACTGCCTGTTTCTTGAATGCTAGAATTACAAGCCTGTGCCACCTTGCTAGAAGTAAGTTAATTCTTATCTTGATTATTTGAAGATACTCAGTCACTTTGCTTGTACCTTTTTGATCTTTTTTGCTTGCATCTTTTTTTTCAGACTGAAGATTTTAATCCTTAGGACTGTTTTCAAAACGTTCAAGTGTGCATTATCTGCTCGTTAGTTAATCTAACCTTGAGTCGTGACCCAGGTATCAGGTACTATATAATTCAAGGTGTGGAGGGAACTCCTTAATTTAACACTTAGGTCTAATCCTCTGATGACAGATATAAGAATATGTTCAAAACTTTTAGCAGTGGATTCCTACTGGTTTCAGATGTTACTTTTAGCAGTCGATTCCTACTGGTTTCAGATGTTACTTTAAAATATATGGTCCTCAGCCAGACAGTGGTGGTGCACACCATTAATCCCAGCACTCGGGAGTCAGAGGCAGGCAGATCTCTGTAAGTTTGTAAGTTCGAGACCAACCTGGTCTACAAGAGTTAGTTCCAGGACAGGGACCAAAGATACACAGAGAAACCCTGTCTCAAAAATAAATAAATAAATAAATAAATAAATAAATAAATAAATAAATAGAATAGAACAGAATAAATTAAAATTACCTGGTCCTCTATATTGAACATTGGAGAAAGCGAGTCAAATTTAAAATTTCCTACAGCCAATGTTTTCTTCGACCTGCCTCATTTCAGGGTGTATTCAAACACAGGTTTAAGGTCTATACAGACATAGGATCCTTGCTCTTATTGCTAATACTATTTTTATTTGTCTCATCATTCCAAGTAGATTTCAATCATGGGAAACCACAGGCTGAGTTTGGTTTTAAATATCAGAGCAATGTATAAGGCAACACATATGCAATTAATTTTAGGTATTTGGGACTGGAGAGCTATCTCAGTGGTTAAGAGGACTAATTGCTCTTCCAGAGGACCTGAGTTTGACCAGCTCGCAGCACCCACATTTCTGCTCATAACGATGTGTTTTTCCAGTCCCAGGGGATCTAATGCCCTTTTCGAGCTTTAGCAAGGCACTGCATGCACATGGTGCACAGAGACACATGCAGATAACCACTCATACATAAAGAATAATTTTTAAAAAGTAAGAATTTAAGGTATTACTATTTTTATAACAGTTTCTTCTATAATGAATGGACTATATATTTCTATTAGCAACTCATTTTATAGTCTATCAGTAAGTTTTTATAGATATCTCACAAATGTGTACCTTTATATTTGACTTTCTATTAAGTATAATTTGAATATTGTTGATGTGTTAATAGTCATATTGTCATTTACATATTATAATTAGCTGTTTATTTTATTAAATAATCTTCTGACATTTGTGAAGGAAACTTTGTAGAGCAGTTTTTTAATTATGTTATCAAAATGTTTTCAGAACTAGTTCATTTTTTTGTTAGGATACATTCATTTTAGTATTAGCAACACCTTTCAATTGTGCAAATAATGAGTTTCATGTTGATGTTTTTATACATGAGTATAATGGATTTTCATTATATTCTTCCCCTATCTTGCACTCTCCTTGTATTTCTCACAGTATTCTTTTTCTTTAAACTTTTTTGTTGTTGTCTTTGCAATTCTTCAGGAAAGAAAATATATTGTACTTGTATTTTGAGTCTAATTTATTTCGCTTCACATGTTGATATCCAGTTACATATGATTTCCTTAAGATTTTATAATCTTCTTTTTGATGGGTAAATAAAACAAGAAAATACATTTACAAAAATGTGAGAAAGATAAGTTTATTTTATATTTTTAAGCACTTTATTTACATACAAGTCATAGTATATTAGTCAAATATGACAAGTATACAAATGAGTGTTTTTACTAAATGTAAAGATATTTTACTAAACATAAAGATATATATATATATATATATATATTTGCATACCAATATCAATTTTAAGCTACTTAACCACTCCCTTTCAAAAACTGCAATCTTTAGCAGCCATGAATTTTCCTCTACTTTGTTCCTGAGGAATCAGTATTTTCTACCTTTTATAGATTTGCCTACTCTGGACATTTTGCAGAAAAGAGTCATACAATATGCGGGATTTTTCATAACTGCATTCATCCACTTAGCGTAGTGCTTTAAGATTTATTCACATGGTACTCACTAAGAATCTAAAAATTCTGTGCTCCTTTAGGAAAATAGTGTGAAATTTCCTTTAAAAGTCCACTGTATAAAATTTTGATTTTTCCATTCCTTTTTTTGGGGGGGCACACATGTTGTTCTTTATCTTGTGGTGTTCTGGGAAGTGCAATATCAAATAAGAGTAAGAAGATATTTTTCTTAGATTTCTTTGATTGATTTGCATAGATATATGGTCTCAGTATACCTGAAATATATTCTATCTCTGTAAAAATATTTACAGAAAATGCTATTCTGGTTTCCATAGTGACCAGACTTATTTACATTATCTGCATAATTCATGATACTTTTCCTTTTTTAACAGAATTTGTTAATTTTATTTCTATCATGATAGATATCCTGTCTATGGTGAAATAAACTCAAAATTTAGTATTGTTCTTCATAATGACATAAAATATAGGACATTTTATTTCCCTTTATACCTATTTATTGTCTATTAAATTCAGCTAATTAATTAATTGCATCATTTCTTTTTTATTTTTCCATTGGGGAAAATTTATTATTTGTCCTTTGGGGTGCTTTTTCTAACTTTTTAAATATTTGACATATTAGTCCCCCTTCAGATATATAAATAACTGGCAAATGTTTTCTCCCATTTTGTGTTCTTTTCAGACTTGTAATTATTTCCTTTGATAGAATCATTTTTGTATTTTATAATCCTCCTTAGTTGATGCATGCTATTATTTCCACAGCTTTTAGACTTCTCTACAGAAATGTGTTTTCAATACCTATTTCTTTGTTTTC